TATCTATCTATCTATCTATCTATCTATCTATCTATCTATCTATCTATCTATCTATCTATCTTAGCCACCCATCTCACAATAAATAAAAAATGCAGGCAGTTCTCTGCCTACAGAAGTTCATTTAGTGACCGTTCGAAGTTACAACGGCCTCACCCCAGGGTTAGAGAGGCAGAGGCTGGGGGCCCCCTGCAGCATAACAAAGGAGGATGCCCCGCCATGGGGGCGGTGGTTCTCCAGACGCGGCCCTGCAGTCCCCCTTTGAGCCTTCCCAGCCTGGCTGGCTGCCCCGAGATATCCGGGTGGTCCCCTTTCCCCTTCCAGAAGCTGAGATGAGGCGACCATAAGCGGCGGCAAAGTCAGGGAGAGCTGCACCTGCCACAGGCAGCCGAAGGTGCAGGGAGGAAGCATTGGGGGGGGCTCGTTCCTATGTGGGGGGATCAGATGGGAGCCTGAACGGCCCCTCCCTCCCCCCCATCCCTCAGGCAACATCCGGGTCCTGTGTCGCCTGAAGCCGCTGACTGGGGAGAAGGAGCAGCCGCAGCAGCCGTCGCCGGGGGTCCCGGGGGGTCCCGGGGTGGAAGCCAGCCTGGCTGAAGACGGCTGCCTGACCGCCAGCTACAAGGGGACGGAGCATCACTTCAAGCTGGACAAGGTCTTCCCGCCCTGCGCCACTCAGGAGGAGGTGAGCCCCTCCCCATCGCCCAGGGTCTCCACTCAGGCACGGCCCCCCCTTCACCCACCCACAACCACGTCCCCAACTGGGGAGGCAGAACGGAAGGCGCGGGATGGCAGGAGGCGGCACCTCCCTGGGGAAACTCTGGGAAGGTCCATACGTGTGGGGAGGTCCCATCAGGCCCGGCCTCAGACTGGAGAGACCCCTTTCGGGGCGGGGTGGGTGGGGGGCTGCCTCAAGGAACTCCGAAAGCCTAGAATGGAAGGGAATGGAATGGAATAGAAATTAGAAATAGAAGAGAAGAGAAGAGAAGAGAAGAGAAGAGAAGAGAAGAGAAGAGAAGAGAAGAGAATATGGAATGGAATGGAATGGAATGGAATAGAAATTAGAAATAGAATAGAATAGAATTAGAATAGAATAGAATAGAAATACAGGAATAGAATAGAATAGAATAGAATAGAATAGAATAGAATAGAATAGAATAGAAAATAGAATAGAATAGAAATGA